GACTAAACAAGGAAGCAGACATAAGAATCTATTAAGCTATATATGAAATAGACTTGCAAATATATAAGAAAGTTCTTGTATAATCTACTCTTCTCATTAAATATTTTTAAATGAAGATATTTTCATAAAATGTTATTCATGTTAACATGGAATGGATTCATCACTTATCTTAATGTATGATGTTATCTTAAAACATTTTTTAGTTATCTGAAATATTTCTTAGTTTTAACTTTGAATGCAATAAAGATAGGCAAAGTACCCTCCATATAGTCTTGTGGGTCTCAAAATATGAATGTTTTTAGAGACTATAGAGGCTTTTGAACAAAATTTTGACAAATGCTGGTTTGTCAGACAGGCATCAGAGAGTAGAGCTGGTATACATGTTGACATAGGACTCAGGCCCTCGCAGAAAGGGATCAGAATAGAGGGAGTACAAGGGGTGGGAGGAAGAAGTAATGGCACCAGGGAGTTCAGCCACTGTCAGATTCTTTAGGGTCTTTTGAGCCTAAAGTTGAGGAATAATGAAGGGAGAATGGCTTTTATATATGAAAGAGAACATATGTCTTTCTGTCTGGCTTATCTTGACATAATGTTCTCCATTTCCATCCATTTTGCAGAAGATGACAGAATTCATTCTTCCCTATGTCTGATTAATATTGCACTGTGGTAAAGAAGGCTGGATAACAACACAGCAAGACACCATTTTGAAAAACAAGAAAACAACCACAAACTTATATGCACGTAGGCTAGTTTTGAAGCACCCATGTAATGGCAGAAACTATTTAAAACAGGATGTGGAGCTAAATGTATTAAAATAGCAAAATATGTAAAGTATATATTGTATGTGGAAAATGCAAGGAAGAGGGGGAAAGAGAGCAAAAGAGGAAGAGACAGAGAGAGACAAAGACAGAGACAGAGACAGAGAGAGAAAGAGAAAGAAAGAAAAAGAGAGAGTGAGCAAGAGAGAAAGAAGATGGATTCTTTTTCCTCCAAACAGATATGTGACTCTGTGTCTACTTATCTGAATCCTGAGTTATCTGTGTTATCTTATTGGCTGCTGTGAAAAGGGAAAATTAGCTTACTGTGTATGTAGGACATGCCTGAAATACCTGAAGTAAAAACAAAATCTGAATAGTGATTACTTCTAGAAAGTAGGATTGGACAGTCAGTTGGGTGAGAGATTATTTCACACTTAACCTTTTATCCTGGTATGCTGTTTAATGCCTCAGCATGTTTCATATTCATATATATTCATATATATATATATATATAATTATAGTCTGTGTATATGTATACATGGGTACTATATACATATACACACACATATATATAATTATATACAACTTTTCTGATGCAAATCTATTAGTAAAAAACAAAAAAACATACTATCAATAAGTCTAAAATACACTTGCCCTGAAGATGTTAAGATAAATGAAAGAGATTGTAGGAAAAATATACATATATATGAGCATAAACACTATACAGGTGAAAGCTAGTTTCATGGCTGTTAGTAAATGCTAAAACTTAGAATGGGAATAATATTAAGGCAAGGGAAGAAAAATTCCCTTATAGTCTGATTTGAAAAGGTGAGCTCATTCACAATATATATAACTCTGAAATATGAAGAGTTTCTATATCAGATACAATCAGTTTAAAGAATAAAATACCATTATACAGTGATTTGCAAATTATGGGAGAAAAGTGACCAATATTGAAAAGTATCAACTACATAATGGTGCATCTATGTATCATAACTTCATGTAGTAAATAAAGATAATGTGAGAGAATAATATTGACAGTGTAGAAAGTATCCACAATTCATTGTTGTATACAAGAGTATTTCTTATATGAGAGCCAAAATGTGTTTATATTTGTATACACTCACACTCAGAGAAAGCAATGAGATAGTTCTTTCTGGGATAGACCTTACTTTCTTTTTTCTCCTAAAATAATTATTCAAATAATAATTATATATATCATATTACTCAAATGAACTAAACTTCTTACTGTCTTCTTTTCCACTTAATTTTAAATAGGCTGAAACAAAGTGCTTTTGTGAAATTTGTAGTAAGGAAAAAGTTATGCTTGAAACCACAGTGTGTAAAAATATAAAATATATTATTTTCTGCCATCAGGGAACTGTCACTGTATTTCATTATATTCTATGCTTCTAGATAATTTCACACATGAAGATCTAGTCATACATCGTTAAATAGATGCTGTAGGGAAGCACTCAATTCCATCCATCCACCCAAAAGAAAAACAATGTCGAGTTTGCTTTGAGGAAACACTGCTAGCAGATTAGCCTTGGCTTTTCACATGAGAAAAAATTGACAGGCAACATATTTGGGGGGATTTATTTAATAGTACCCATCAATTTGATGGTCTCTGAGATTCATTACAATCTGTAGTTCCATGACCCTGATGAAGAAACAATAATAACTAATGAATAATAACAACTATAGGTAGTAATCATTGAAATATGTTACTCATTTATATTTTACCAAGTACTATACTAAAGGTATTGTGCATATGGTATATTTTGATGGCCATAAAATTTCAAATATACCTCGTCAAATCTATTTTAAAGATCAAGACACTTAAGTGTCCAGATTGAACTTTTTGCTTGTTGTTAAGTGCTGTCAGGTTGCTTGAGAAAGTTAAAAATTTGATGTACTTTTCTACAGAACTTGACTTCTTTACTATTTTGTGGTTCCAGAATCACCTTTTGAGTTTATGAGCCATCCTTGATCAAGCAGGATCTGCCATCAGAATTGCAAAGGGAATAGTCAAGTTGTGGTGACCCTGGACTTGAAGTCCAGGGTTGGTTTTAGATTTGAGCAGATGTTCCTCAGTATCCTTCCTGGTCTCAGATAACCTGGATTCTAGTTGTTGGGCTGAGCGGGGCAAGTGCATCACTTTAATCTGTGGTGTGATGAAACTTATTCAACCTCCAACACCCACTAGCACAAACAATGGGATTTTCCACTCACCAGGATAGAAAGTTCATACCTTACCCTTAAGTTCTGAAGCATACATTTTTTGTGCCCAGGACTGTGAATGTATGATATACAAAGAAACTAGTCATTTGACTAACATTCCATATTTCTTTAATATTTCTGACTTTTCTCAGCTGATACTAGTATTGTCTATGAAATATTTTAAACTGATGGAATTAGCTACTTTGTCTCTGCTAAATTCAGTTCATCATTTTTTTCCCCATAATCATGGTTTCATTCTTCTATGTTCTTCTATTTCGTTAGGTGACTTTTAGAAAACTGTTTAAATTTGCTGAGTCTCTGTTTCTACTTCTGAAAATATGATAATAACACATATTAAAAAGATTTTTGATTGTGCAATTTAAAGTGAGATATATGAAAATTCTGAAATAAAAACATAGAATATAGCAAATTGTTTGTTAATATTGTTTCATTTCTTCATCATAGACTCAGGAAATATGCTTTAAAATATGCAAACTTATTCAATGTATTGGTCTCCTAGTACTGATTTCATTAAAAGGTATACAATGACAATGTCAGCTTCCCAAGGTGTAGATAGCTGGAATTTTTCAAAGAGGTTCTCAATTTGTAGAATTTGGTATACTTAATGTTTAGAGTTGTTTTAAGAAAGCTCTTATGACAAAGTCACTTAATTATATTTGTTACTTTATCTTTTTTCCCTAATCCATATAAGCTCATTCATTTTCCTTATTATAAAATTTACATGTTTCAATAGTTTTCTTAAAATAATAATAGTAAAAATTTAAGCTTGCAAATCATCTTGTAATTCCAGGAATTACCTTCAAAAAGATCATCAATTGTTTTTCAACTGTACTATTAGGCATTTATTTTTAATATTCTTGGTTAAGACAAATGTAAAAATGGTTATGGAGATTAACTCTCTACACGTTTCACTCCTAAAAAGTGATATACTTAAGTTATTTTTAGAAAAGAAAGTTATACTGTGGCAACTTAAAAAATATATTATTCACAGAGTTCTTATAAACTGAGGAAATGACCATTTTGAAGGAAATAAATCCCATAACAAATTATTAAATCATTAAATAGACAAGTAGGCCTCTACCTGAATACACTTCTCATTTGCTAAATGTTTGCATCAGTAACTAACCATGAAAGATCTATCAAACTGGGACTTTGGGAGACCACAACTTTGAATAACTTTTAGTTTTGAAAAAAAGTCACTAGCATTAAATGACAGAATGAAAGATTATTGCCTTGTGATATTTTTGGCATGCATTTATTTTTTCTTTGTTCTATTATATTTCTTGGCATTAAGCTATAGAATACTCTCTTGCGAGAAAGGTTTTTGGTGAATTCCTAAAGGAAACACACAAATGAGAAACAGGCAAGACACTGTCAATTGGTTCCAGATTTGAGTAGCATAAAAGAGTTCCCTAAACATAAGAAGTGAAATGGAAATGTTGATCTGTATCATCTATCATCGTGTATGTGAAGCATTTTCCATATTTAGGAAATTAATAAAAGGTACCCTTATGGCAAACATTAAATTTTTTCAAGTAAATCAATAGATTTCCAAGATTTCAAGATTCTAAGAGTGATGGACAAAAAGGATTCAATACCTCTGAGTTTTCTCCTTTGCATTTTCTTGAGATTATTTGCTCTGTTTATGATTTATAAGACCTTTAGATGAACATAGAAGCAAGTAAACACAGACACAGAAGTCGAGAAGTTTTAAAGAGAAACATTTTCCCTCTGAATTGCCTCATTTGGAGCAAGACTCAATTCTTGGTTAAAAGCTATGGTATTTGAGCTACTTAAGCACATATCTCTCTCCCATTCCATAGGGAATGAGCTGGGCTGTCCTTGCTCACCACGTCCACCTGCACTTCGTTAGAGAGCAGAGTGTTTGCATGCCACACCACGGGAGCCCCACAATGACCTAACTCCACTCAGAGACTGGCGTGACTGGGCTGGTCCCCCCACCCACTTCAGCTCTTGTATCACTGACAATCTGGCAGCCAGCTCCATTCTGACAGAGTTTACAGCATATATTGGTGGATTCTTGTTCATAGTACATCTGCTTTAAGAATTAACGAAAGCAGTGTCAAGGCAGTAAGGTAAGTGCTGTTTTAACTATAGCCCAGGGGATGCTGACTGTTTGGGACAGTGTTTATTGTAACAGGAACAGGAAGAATTCCACAGCAATTTTGCCAATTGCTATTCAACAGCAAATCCACAGTTTTAGCATTGCTTTCACATTTTACTTAATATACTTTCCAAGATTTATGCATTTGAGATAAATTTCACACAGTATATGCTATATTGGTTGGCAAAAGAAGTTATAAAATGTTTCAAGGGTAGAACAAGAAAATAAACACTGAAAAAGTATGGAAATTAAAGTGTTTGTAATTAATTCTAATTAGTTATGTATGTTAGCATTATAGAAACCAACACTGGAGCAAAGAACTGTCACTTCCATCAGAATTTGACATACTTTACAATAATCATACTATTACAATCTGTTAAAACGTATAATAAGCATTCTATGTTAGCTAAAGGACTTGTATGTTCTCATGGATTACTTATTCTTATTTTGTTAATTTTAAAGACATGGCTTTTTGGATGTATGTTTTGAGAAGCATATTGTAAAAAGATTCTGGGAAATGATCTGCTTTTTGCCAAAAGCATTTTCTCTACAGCCACAGGTATTTGAAAAAAATGGGGAGAAGTACAGTGTGTTTTTGCCTCATAGTGGAGGCATTATATGGTTACAAACTCTCTTTGAATTCAGAGCCCTAAGTTTTACTCTGCCAAAAACTACAAAAGCGTTTTTGGTTACTATTCAATGCTCACATTATAGTTACCATGACCATTTTGGTGCATAGTCTACTTAAAATAAAATAGAAGCTTATTAATGAGTCAAGACAAATCTATAGTATTAATGTACTGTAACTTATAAAGAATCCTCGGAATTTGTCATCATGTTTTGTTAGTGCTATGAAACTGACATGATTAAGTCCTGTTAACTAAATTAAGTGCCTCCATCATAATTTTGCCAATAATTTACTAAGAATCTGACTGTATCTTATGTGAGGAATTGAAGACTTTATAACAACTCTGAGTATTTCATCTAATAATGTAAGATTTCTTATTATTCCAAGTTAAAGAGCATATGTTTAAAATTCTTGAACTTCTGAATCCCACTTATTCCAAAACACCTGGATCCAAAAGCTTGTATCATACTTCTCATAGCAAGATCTAACAGACTGTGCTAGCTGTAATGATGTGGGTTCTTTTCACATTGATGAGCTCTCTGGAAGACTTCTACACTTCTCCATAATTCTTCACTCCACAAAACTCCAATTCTTATATTCTAGTTTTTCTTCACTTAAATTGCTAGACCTGTGTTTCCTCTGTATGATTGGAATGTTCTTTATTGATCCTCATCTTAGAAACATGTTCATAGGATAGCAGTTTTGAATTATTTCAAATATGTATTCCTCATGTTTCCTGAGGGCACTCTAAATTAAAACTTTCCTTCATTCCTACCTCTCTCCCCCTTCCATTCTGCAAGGCCACTAAACATGAGCAAACTATGCCACCTTAAATATTGGTATGAAGAAAATAGAGAACTCAGCAGCTATTGAGAGAGAACTTTATTTTAAAATTTGAAAAATTATTTTTTCTCTACTAGCTTCCTCTCTTTCTAGATTTTTCTATAAAACTCTTAGATTATTTGAAATTTATAAAAATTAGTTTCAGAATATAGTTTTGTAATGTGTTTAAAAGCATGGTACGTTAAACAAAACTTTAAATGACATAAATATACGTTCACACCAGGAATTCTGTTTCCCTTCCTTATAACCAACAGCAATATCAAGATACTTTTAAAGGAATGTAACTCCCTTTCACCTTCCATCTCACATGTAATAAGAACAGCTTTCCTAAAGGGAAACCACAGATTGCCCATGTTCTCAATAAGAATCTCCTTGAAACATTTTAATGATGTTGAATGGTAGGGTGTAGTGCACAGTTCACAATTGTCTTTTAATTTACATTTCTTGTGGTATTGAGAGATGTACTGAAGCATTGTTCTGACATTGTGGACAATGAACACTCCCCAGAAGCCTCTTGGAGGAAGGTATTTAACTAAGGAAGGTTGTAAAGGGATGTAGTTGTAAAGAGATAGGCTGATTGTGCCCAGAAGGGGGCGCATGTGTATGCATCTAACCGGAAACTTGTTCTCCACCTCATAGTTGTAACAATACAATGCACCCTTATTCTCATAATTAAATAAAAAAATCTAAAAGATAATAAAGACACTATTTTAGATGCACAACATGCAATATCAAATAACAAAATGCACTTTTGCTAATGAATATAACATTGCAAATTGAGTTTTCCTTTTTCTGAAAGTTTACTATTTTATAATAATTTACATTTCCACTTTATTTAGGATTCAAAACATTTGCTGAAAATGAGTCTAAGTGCGTTTACTCTTTTCTTGGTGTTAATCATTGGCGTCAGTGGTCAATACTATGATGATTATGATTCACCTTTATTCATGTATGGACATCCATCACCAAACTGTGCACCAGAGTGTAACTGCCCTCAAAGCTATCCATCAGCCATGTACTGTGATGAGCTGAAGTTGAAAAGTGTGCCAATGGTACCTGCTGGGATCAAGTACCTTTACCTTAGGAATAACCAGATTGACCATATTGATGAAAAGGCCTTTGAGAACGTAACCGATCTGCAGTGGCTCATCCTAGATCACAACCTCCTAGAAAACTCCAAGATAAAAGGAAAAGTTTTCTCTAAACTAAAACAACTGAAGAAACTGCATATAAACCACAACAATCTAACAGAGTCTGTGGGCCCACTTCCCAAATCTCTGGTGGACCTGCAGCTTACTAATAACAAAATCACAAAGCTAGGGTCCTTTGATGGACTGGTAAACCTGACCTTCATCCATCTTCAACACAATCAGCTCAAAGAAGATACAGTTTCGGCTTCCCTGAAAGGTCTTAAATCACTTGAGTACCTTGACTTGAGCTTCAATCAGATGAGCAAACTGCCTTCTGGACTCCCAGTGTCTCTTTTAACTCTCTATCTAGACAACAATAAGATCAACAACATCCCTGATGAGTATTTCAAGCATTTTAGTGGGCTGCAGTACCTGCGTTTATCTCACAATGAACTGGCTGATGGTGGAATACCTGGAAATTCATTTAATGTATCATCTCTGCTTGAGCTGGATCTCTCCTATAATAAGCTTAAAAACATACCAACTGTTAATGAAAACCTTGAAAACTATTACCTGGAGGTCAATGAAATTGAAAGTAAGTACAAAGCTATTCCTGTGTTTGACTGATGTAGCCTCAAGTTTTTAAGTGCCTAAACTGTGCAATATGAATATTGCATTGGAAGCCATTGAATAAAAATGAATGAAAATGAAAACAATATATCTTTCTAATGCAAATATAGAACAACTTTAGCTTAATTGTATACTATTTGTTTCTAGATTTTCTTTGGAGTATCCAGATGAAGAACAATTAAGATCATAGTACTTAATATCAAATATCTTCTAATTTAATTTCTAGGCTAGTTGATTCTTTATCACTTAGATTTGTGTCCTACATTTACTTCCTGAAAATGAAAGGAACAAGCAAATTCAGAAGAGACATAGCCAGCAGAGGCTCTCAGATCTCCCTCCTACTTATCCACAGACTAGTTACATATTCCCATGATTTTCCCTGATAGCTTGAGACACAAGAAGTTTCTCTTGACCATGATCACTCATGATTATCTTTTATGGAATGGGTGGCCTGCACAATGTTCTGATGAGGACTCTGACAAAAATAAGGAGGGAAAGACTGTGATGAAGGGTTGAACTTTTCTTTAAAAATAGTATTACAGAGCCCCTTTTTCTTCTATACAACCCTTCCCTTCATTTGGTTTTTTTCAGTTTCTTTTTCTTTTATTAGCTAATTTTATTTTTCATTTACTTTCTGAATGGAGTTTTAATTGATCTACTTGAGATGATCTGCAGGAACACCTTTCAATTTAGGCAATACAGACTCAGGTGGGAAATTAAAGGCTATCATTCCCCACTTTACACTCTAACAGAGTTGGACAGAAGAAAGAAGTCATGGTTAACAAATAATATCTTTTTAAATGAAAAATCAGGTGGTGAACGTCCTTTAAAACAGTGATATAAAGTAATTATATCTGCAAAATTATCTACTGAACTTCAACATCATTATCTGATGAAAGTGAGTTCCTTTGTCATGCTGGATATGGCTATCAAAAATTATAGTGTACATTATGAGTACATTTTAAGTCTTTAACCATTTCATGTAACTCCTAGTTGGGTTGAAGTGATGATGATTTCCAACTCAAAACAACCGTGTCTTTGTTGTATCTTGCAAGTCATCAAGATAAAGGTTGGAACTGTTTGTTTGACTATCACGTGATGCACAGTTTAAGCTAACATAGCTTAACTTCTACAGTTGTCACCATTGTAAAATTCACTATGTAGCAATATTTGGAGTTAGGAGGAGGGAAACTCTGACAGACCAAAATGACAAGGGATTTAGGATGGTTGAGGGCTAAAGAAATCCATTTGATTTGGTGATAGATAGGGTTAGTCACAGGACCAAGGTTACTTCTTTTCCTCAAATGAGAAAGAGGAAGGATGGAGATGGAGGTACATTTGGTGGTGCACAGTGTATGAGTGAAGGATGGAAGAGTCAGGATGGGACGTGGGAAAGGTGGCCTATAAGAGAAAGGCCAACTCCTACTCAGTGCCAAGCCAAGGTAGAAATCACAGTGCCTGGTACATACCTTCCTTTCTTCCTTCCTTCCTTGCATTGACATTTGTTCAGGTACTGTTGCCAAGCATCTCTTCAGTTTAGGTTATTTTCCAGGTAATAATCACTCATACCTATTGTTCACATTTTCTTAATATGTTTGTCCTTTTTCATGTATAATATTACATTCAATGTCTAATACAAAGGAATGTATAGTCATTGCCCACTACCTGTGGGGAACTGTTTCCATAACTCCCTGTGGATACAAAAATTCATAGATACTCACATCCCTTATAAGAAATGGTTAGTGGTTGCATATGACCTATGCACATCCTCCCATCTACTTTAAATATCTCTAGAATACTTACATACCTAATGCAGTACACATGCTACCTATATTGTGCAGGTAAAAAAGTCAATAAAAATAAGTCTACATGTTCAATAAAGATGCAATTATTTTCTAAATATTTTTGATCTGTGATTGGTTAAATCTGCAAATGTGAAACCCAGATACACAGAGCCAACTGTATAGCCCCAAACAATTCTGCATATTTCAGATGAGATTGGGCGCATTCAGGTATGGCCATAGACAATTCTGCATGTTTCAGTTCTGTCACTTTAAGCATTACCCTAGTCACAGATCCTTATAATGTGAAGTAATTGGGAAAAGACAAAAATGTTAAAAGGGCATCAGTAATTATTCAGGGTATTTTGTGTACTAATACTATGTGAAGTACATTGCATACCTTAATCTTCATGTAACACATTGAGATATGTCACATCAGATAGAAAGGTCAGCCAGTTAATAAGTTGCAGAGATAGAATTCCAACATAGGTCTATGCTCCATAGGTCTCTTGCTTCATACGTCCTCAATTTGGTACCATAGAACAGTTCTGGAATTAGACTAATGAATTATTAGAGTAAACATCTTGCAGGAAAGCAGTACTATGTGCTTGAGTTTCCACTGATGTCATTGTTAACTAGAATTTGAGAATTAAAGAACAGATAAAGGGCAAGATGAGGTTAAACTGAACAGACATGAAAGTACATAGATAGCTTCTGTGTACACACAGTTATGCAATCCAGTAATTGTTTTAGTGTCTATTAAAATTAAAGTCAGTTTTCACTTGTGGCAGCTTTTCAACCACAGAAGAACATTGGCTCAGAAGCTGGACATTCCATGAGTTGGTTTTTGGCTTGGGGTTTTTAGTCATTGTCATGATATCTGCAAATTCTTTGCAGATCATCTAGTTAAAGTTCTTATTTTCAGATGCAAAAACCAGCAATGCTTATTTGGTGAGGTTGTTCATAAAACATTATTAATTTACATTTTTCAGATCAGACTAAATATTCCAAAATATTTCTTAGGTAATAAGCCACAACTTGTATGCTTTTCTGAATTCTATTCCTAAAGATAATAAGTTTTATTCTTTGAAAAACTTCATGGAATTATCTTACTTACCTAGTTACTGTAAACTAAATATTGCTATAGTTATTTCAGTAGCTTGAAATATAGCTTCAGTGATACATGGTATAAATAACTTTTCTAAGTTAGAAGTCCTGGTTGATAATATTAGATGTTTTGATAATTTTTTAGATGTTTGTTTCAAGTCAATGCAATAAACATGATTAAAAACTTCTATTCTTTAATTTGCAGAGTTTGATGTAAAGAGCTTCTGTAAGATCCTTGGACCATTATCCTATTCCAAGATCAAGCATTTGCGTTTGGATGGCAACCCCCTTTCCCAAAACAGTCTGCCACCTGATATGTATGAATGTCTACGTGTAGCAAATGAAATCACTGTTAATTAATATCTGCTAATTCCAATTATGTTGAGGTATCTTCTGGAGCAATTTATGGTTAAGTTTTCTTTGTGTATGTAAAGTTTTTGTAGTACCTAGTTTTTGTAGCTGTTTATTACTTCCATGAATATTAAATAATGAGGGAAAATGTTTTGTAAACATTTACCACTTTTTTAAATAAAGGAAAGATGAAAAGCAGGCCTATTTCATCTCAAGGACACACATGCACATACATTCTTACATACATAGATAGCAAACTCAAGCTTCTTTGTAAATTTAATTTTTCTTATGTCTCTACTTTCAAGTGATATGCAAAGCCTTTTTACTAGTTGTAAGGAAGTCACCAAGGTTTTACAATCTCTACACCTAAATTTAATGGACCTCAAAGCATAGATTAAATATATGTGGATATTTACTGACCAAAATAATCTTGATATGGTCAAACTTTTTGTTGAAAAATAAGTGGTATCTTTTGAAATCAATAATTTTCCAAAATACTAAATAAAATTTGTGAAGTTCCATGTATCTACAGAAGTATATTTAGTATTAAGAATTTGAATACTTACCTAGTTGAATGTTTCTTTTCTAGAATTGTCACTCTAAGACATGTATGTTTCTTTTTGATTATTTGCATGTTATGTTTAACAAGCTAATAGCAAAATAAACATAGCAAATGGCATCATTGTGTTTGATTTCTTCTGAAATTCATGTCTGTCATTTATAAAATACATAAAAGATTACATTAAAATTCAAAATGTATAACTAGCCTGTATTTTACTGATAGGAACATAGAATTTCCTACTAAATAGTCTCTTTCTAGCATTCACTTACATGGAGTTATTAAACACATCTTATAATAGGTATTACATGTCTCAATATGTTAGATATTATTTCCATTTCAGTTATTTTTACTCATTCATATGTAATTGTATCTTATTAGCTAATAAGGTGCCATAAGATCTCAGCAGTTACTTTGTGGTTATTAAACAAAAATGGTGGATAACTCACAAAATTTAACATGTTGAATAAATTTTTTAAATTCTGAAAGTAAGATTTTAAATAAAAGTCATCATATATTGAAGTCAATGCATTTGAAACATTGATTTTGAGCTTTATAGTCCAGTAGCAATAGGAACACCCATGATTCTAAACAGTAGAAAATAGGGCATATACCTTATATAAAAATAATTTCTTTGTTTACCTAGTAAACAATGAAGTATGCACTCAAAAATATTCTCATCCCATATCAGTGCATATGTAAACAGTATGTGTCAAAACAGTATCTTGTCTAAAGCATGGAATGTTTTAAGAGAACAGTTTTAGTTAACTCTATTTTATGGTTAATGGTCTATCACCAAAAGACTCTCATCATTTAAGAATGAGTTGGCTAGCAGATGTGTGAGATGTAAATTACAGTAGGTAAGCTGTGGGAGTTTTTTGATTCTCATGCTTTTTCTATATAAAGTCATGTGTTTTGAACTATAATAGCACTCAAGCCATTTATTGATAAAAACTTAAAATTTATTTTCTCTCAACAAAACTATATGATAGAAAAAATTAAAAGATTTCCTTTCCCTATTTATTGAATTCATCATCAGTGCTTGGTAACCTATTATCAAGCAGGGAGTAGATAATGGGCCATGTATTCTCTTAAGCAAGAAGATATGAATTTAAATGGGTTTCATCTCCATGCTGCTTAGGAGAAACAGTTCATCTGGCAGCCTGTCTACATGTTTAAAAGCCTTTGATTTATTTCTGACCAAGGCACTATGTTATTCTAAAGTCTTAAAAAGTGCAACTAGAAAAACCCAGAAATTCCCTTTACAGTTAAAGGTATTTTGAGAAAGACCAAGTTAAGTAGAAGATGACACTTCCTTGTGGGACCATCTGATAGAAGCAATAGTAAGACCCAGGCTTGGAATAGCTCCTCTTTCCAGTGCTCAGACTTCATCTTCTTAGGGAAGATCTAAAGAGAGAAGCTGCCAGATAGCTTGCTCTGTCACTCCCTGAGCCAGTCCTAGGCAGTTGCAGAGGACAGCAAATCTGGAGACTGACTTATTGCCCCTCCGTAATCATTCCAGCTAGGGTGGTGTTTTTCAAAATTCCTAGTTTTGGTACTTTTCTAAATTCAGATTACCAGAAACAGTACCCCAGATATACAGACCTAGTTATTTATGCTACATTTTTAAACTGTGTTCATGAGTGATTCTTAGACTGGTACTCAGTGTCACATATTTTTCAAAACACTGACTTAGTGTGATTCTATGATTAAGCCAGTGAAGTCTCAAACTGTTCAAGGCAGGGAAGTCCTTTTCTCTAGAGAAGCCCTAAAGAGAGAAACCTGCTGTTAGCAGCATACATATAGGAGATATTGCCTTTTCCATATTCAGATATATTTGAGCTTCTGACCTTCAATATCTTCTACTTTACCAATAAAAACGTCAGTTTCATAAAGAGCAGGAGGCACTCCTACCCCTGACTTGCTTGAGAGTTGCTGATAACATTTCCTGCCTGCCGGTGTTTCCCTTCAGAGATGCTCAGTTTGTACTCTCTCAAGACAGATCACTTAGAATTCATTTTGGTTAAATTTTCCAGAAGATACCAAGGGAAGATACAAGGAGATTCTTTCAATTGTCTCACTAACAATGATTTTGGTTTCATCTCTTTCTGGATAAACTGCCCCTTGAATGGGTTAAAGTCATGATACCCAGGGACTTTTCCTTTCTTAAGACTGATTCATTAAATTCTTAACTGTAGTCCCTTATTTTAGGGGAAATGGAAAAAATGAGAAGAATCCCTCTTTGTTCTAAACATCTCTCCTTGAAAATTAGGGCTATGTGGTGACTTCATGGTGAAGGAGAAAACTATAATGTACTCAGAATTTGAGGTTAGTGAAGGATCATCATGCTTTAATAAGTACAAAAACATAGATGAACAAGAGGTCACTAAATGAGCTAGAAGAATGTTGATTTGGTAGTTAAAACCTCCCACTGATAATAGCTATGTTTTCACAAATACTGGAGAATTTGAAAGATTGAGCTTACAAAAAACTATGATATTTTTTCCTTGTGATCTTTTAACTTTTGGATTCTGGTTTTTCTATAGCTATAATTTTATCATAATGATGGTCTTAGATTTTTCTTTGGTTGGATATTGCAACAATCATAAATACTTGCTAAACATTTACTCACAGTAAAGGAAAATGCTAGTGTTATTTTTAAAATGTTTTCCTTTATTGTTGTTCTGGGTCGGGGTACAATGAGTCATTTTCAAAGGCTGTTATCAAATATGTCATACTTGAATTCACCCCTTCACCACTCCCTTTTATCCCCCCTCCCCCAATTCATGGAACAGTTTCAACAGGTATCATTTTTCCATTCACATGCATGTGTACACATTTTTTGCACCATAGTCACTCGCCTACCCACTTTCCCGATCACCTCCCCTTTCCCACTGGTGTCAACCCTACTCTCTGGGCAGGACCTATTCTGCCCTCCTGTTCTCTGATTTTGCAGAAGAGAAAAGATAAAAAGAAAACATGACATTTTTGCTAGTTTGAGATAAAGATGGCTATACGGGGAATCCCTTGTGATACTTGCATGCATGTATGTGTTATACCCACAATTTGTTCATCTCCTCCAATTATATACATTCTTCCTTCGTCCCTTTCTCATGTATGTGTTATACCCACAATTTGTTCATCTCCTCCAATTATATACATTCTTCCTTCGTCCCTTTCTCATGTATGTGTTATACCCACAATTTGTTCATCTCCTCTAATTATATACATTCTTCTTTCGTCCCTTTCTCATGGTGGTTTCAGTCAGTTTAAGATTTCACATTCATTCTTGAATAGAGAGTATACCACTCATATTCAAGTTCTTAGTTTCCTCATTTTACCCTAACCCTAAAGCATGTGAACTCCCCTTAGTGTGACCAATGTTCATAATATCGCTGCATTTGCATTAGGTCTCTATTCCACATATGAGAAAGAACCTGCAGCTTTGGCCATCTGAGTATGGATAACTTCACTTAAGATGATGCTGTCCAGTACCAAGGACAAAATTTCATTCTTCTTTGTGGCTGAGTAAAATTCCATTGTATATAAATACCACATTTTCTTAATCCATCCATCAGTAGTGGGACATCTTGGCTGTTTCCATAGCTTAGTTATTGTGAATAGTGCTGCAATAAACATGGGTGTGCAAGTGTTTTTGCTATAAACTGACTCTCATTCCTTTGGGTATATCGCTAGGAGTGGGATTGCTGGATCATATGGCGGTTCTATTTTCAGTTTTTTAAGGAGCCTCTATACTGTTTTCCATTGTGGTTGTACTAGCTTATATTCCCACCAGCAGGATATGAGGTTTCCTTTTTCCCACATCTTCACCAACATTTTCTGTTGTTTGTGTTCTTGATGGTAGCCATTTGAATAGAGGTGTGGTGGAAAAGAATGGTTTCTAAATTGAAGAGATCACCCACAGAAAGGGAGAAAATCTTTGCCAGTTGTACATCAGACAAGGGATTGAAAACCAGAATATCTAGGGAGCTCAAAACACTAAGTTCCCCAAAATCAATGCCCAATGAAGAAATGGGGAAATGAACTAAAAGAGCCTTTTCATAGGAAGAAGTTCAAATGGCTGAAAAACACATGAAAAAATGCTCACAATCCCTGGCCATAAAGGAAATGCAAATCAAAACCACATTAAGAATGCTAGTGTTATTTAAAGGGAATTCCAAAGCAACTTTACTATAAGAACTTAAATGTATATAAAATATCAATGACATTAAAGTAGATATGTTTTCAGTATATTAAATAAATAGGAATACATCTTAAAGATATCTAGCAAATAATCATAATTTATTCACTCTTGAATTCGAGAGATTTTCTTTCCACATTAGATATAAGAAATTGAAGTACAATACATGTATGGAAAAGTAGAAACTTATATAATATAACTGATTGAGTTCTCATACATGCTAATCTCATTTTTATAACCCCATGTCACTTTTATTCTACAGTAGGTTCTCCTTCAAATTTTGCTAGTCTAAAGAGAATTGGCTACATCAACATTTTGCCCTTAAAATGTAACTGTTGTTCTATGTATCTGATGTTGTACAAAAAGAGAAAGCATTCCATGTTCTGAAAATGTTTATGAGCTCTAGCTACCTTACACTGTGGAATGTGCTTCCAGTAGTCCTCTATCTTTACTGCTACTGCATTCTTTTGAGAACTGCTTAAATTTTACCTAGATTTCATGAAGTTTCTCACATATTAATCATCTTACCAGTGTTACCAGATTGCATTTCAAATATAAACCTGTTCCTTCACTATTTAAAACTACTCAGTGATATGCCATTGCTTTCTTGATGTGACCCAGGCTCCCAGAAAAGAATTGAAAAT